AGAGCCAGCAGGACTGCTGCAGGACAGCCTGTTTACTCTCTGATTCCTCCCTGTTTGTGTCTGTGTTCACACTGAGATGCTCAGCCTCCAGCCCTGTCCTGGAAGGGCCTTCTTCTGACCCCCCACCCCACCCCACCCCCTGATCACTCCAACCTCCTGCTTCCATCATCTCCTAGCTTGTTCCCCAGCCTTTTCCCAGTTGTCGCAGCACCAGGACCTGGGATCGAAGCGCTCCTCTCCCTTGACGTCCCTGGGGGGCTCCTGGCCGGGAGGTCCCCACCTCCTCATCCAGCCAGTCCCTGACGTATACATAGTTTTAAAAACGTGTGTGTCTTTCATGTGCTACATTTTATGTATACAGTTAGATTTAGTGCACTAGCTGGAAACAGATCACTAGCCTCAAGAGCATGATATTCATTACTTTGAATGATGCCACACCTGACATGATTGTAATCTTAAACTTTTTATTGGTTCAGATCACTGAATTATTCAAATTAGTGCTTAAGAAGAATTTAGTGCTCATGTTTGCTAATGTAGTCTCATGTACCTAAAGAGACCCATTATCAGAAATATAAACGAGACTGTTAACATTTATTTACATACTTTGATTGGTTATTTGTGTTGCACTCCTGGGACCAAGTCACAAGAAACACTATTGCTGATTTTTTCTGGACTACTCAGTACAAGCTTCCAGGGACACAATTGCTAATTTGGGTTGTGCTCCTGAGATCAAACTCCCAGGAACATAAATATTGTAGTAATAATTCTGTTCCCCATAGTAAAGGCGTCATTTTGCAAGGGTATACAAACATTTTCAAATGTGAGGGTAGACAAACAATTTCACTGCCTCAGAAAGAAATGGAGAGTGTGATTTCTTAACAAAGCTCATTGAGTGGATCGAAGAATACAGAACACCCTAAAGTAGTGATGAAATTGCATCTGGAAATATATTATCTACTAAGAAAAAGAGTAAGGCATTTGCATTTTTATAATTTTAGTTATTGCCTGGGTAGTTTCCTGAGATCTGAATGCAGACAATAGTACTATCGTGCTGGTTTATTGTTCTCTCCTAATATCTATATATACTGTGCTCAGCATACACAAAGGCTTGCTTTGCATGACATGCTAAGACAAAACTTAGATTTGTGAGGTTTCACAATTGTGCAGCCTTCTGGAAAGACACCTACAGTAGCTGTGCTCCTCCCTGGTCCTTATACCAAGCTTTCCCTTAGCATGTCATCCAAACCAGGACTAGTGATTAAGCTCTCTGTTCAGTAACCACCAGCAGTAACCAAGAGCAAACCTTGATTACAGATCCTAATTTGTGAGGAGAGAGCTTAATCACCTTGGCTTAATTTAACACAGTGTAGCTGCAAAAAGATTTGAGGAGGAGTAGAACAGTTGTGAGCTTCTCTCCGGGAGCCCATTCATTTGTATATTCTTAAAAACATATTGAGGGCACAAGGAGAAGGGGACAACAGAGGACAAGATAGTTGGACAGTGTTCTCAAAGCTATGAACTTGAGTTTGACCAAGCTGCGGGAGGCAGTGGAAGACAGGAGTGTCTGCTGTGCTCTGGTCCATGGGGTCATGAAGAGTCGGACACGACTAAACGACTAAACAACGACAAAAACATATTCTGTGTGCAGTGTGCATTAAGGTTAAAAATGGGCATTTAAAAAAAAATATTTTTTTAAAAAACCCAGTTAAATTCTGTCTGGTCTTAGCTGGGAAGGTGTTCCTGAAAATTTGGCCCAGAATAACGATACAAGTCATTTGGGTGAACCATGAGAATATGCCAAATCATAGCTGTCAAGTGTCCCTTATTTGAAGGGACAGTCCCTTATTCCAGCACCATGTCCTGCTGCTGTCCCTTATTGATGGATGTCCCTTAAATGTCCCTTAAATGATGTCCCTTAAATTTCAAAGGAAGCAGCTCCTCTCCCTCCCTCCCTGCCGGCCAGGGAGGAGGGAGGCTCCAACTGTGTTGCTTGGCTGTGTTGCTCACCCAATAAGAAGACTAAGAACGACTGGGGGGTGGAGCTTGCATGCCTTGTGTGTGGCTAGTTAATGCAAGCTGAGGGGTTTTTTGAATGCTGGACGCCATTTTGTTGCACGTGCTGCTGCAAACTTTGCAGTGCAAAGCTAGGCCGGAGAGCCATCTTAAGTTGAGGCTGCATAGGCCTTGTGGTGCATGTGATTCAGATTCTATTCAGTTGAACCTCTGGTTACAAAGTTGGTTGGACAGTGTTCTCGAAGCTACCAGCATGAGTTTGACCAGACTGCAGGAGGACAGGAAGACTGGAGTGCCTGGAACAGGTGAGGCTGCAGGTCCCTTATTTTGGCTGCTGATCCCTTATTTTCAAGGCTGCTGGTCCCTTATTTTCAAATCTGTAAGTTGACAGCTATGTGCCAAATACCTTGGTGATAAGACAGGCATATAAGGAATCAGACACCTAAGCTCTCCTGGACTTAAGTTGTTATTGACATAGTCACTTAATACAAGAACCTTGAACTTGATTTGGGTAGCAAGTTATCTTGTGAGACTTAAGAGCTAGTTTTTCAATTCTAATATTGAATTACAATATAAAAATGTGTTTTGTGTGAGTCTGGGGATTATGGAGAGAGACATCTTACCTCTGCAGATTGTTTCTGCTGCATTTAGCATATGCATAAAGTATAGCAAGGAAAGAGATAGAACATTTATGTTTTTACAGTTTTGTAAACCACTGTGATACATTTTTAAGATAGAGTTTAGTAAATATTTGTTATCAGAACAGGATTTAATCAATGTTCATCTCTCTGTTTTATTTCAGAGGCAGAAAGCATTTTAGTTATGAATGCAAAAATAGATAACAAATCTGCTGTGTCTGAGTTTCTACTCCTGGAGTTCTCAGCAATACGAGACATGCAGATTCTATACTTCCTTCTGTTCCTAGTATTGTACCTGGCAATTATATTCGGGAATCTTCTCATTGTCTCTGCAGTAGCATTTGATCGCCGCCTTCACACTCCTATGTACTTCTTTCTGATGAACTTGGCCATCCAAGACCAAGGAGCTATTTCAGTCATTATCCCCAAATCCATAGCCAATTCTCTCATGAATACCAGATACATATCTTATGCTGGATGTGTTGCTCAAATCCTCTTATTTGTTTTCTTTATCTCATCTGAGTTTGCTCTTCTTACAGTCATGGCATATGACCGATACGTTGCCATTTGCAATCCATTGCAATATGAAATGGTGATGAACAGGGCAGCCTGTCTAAAATTGATTGCTGGTGTGTGGGTTGCTGGTCTGCTCTATGCAGTTCTGCACACTTGTGGAACTTTTGCAACTCCATTCTGCTCAAACATTGTCAATCAGTTTTTCTGTGAGATCCCACAGTTACTTATACTTGCCTGCTCTAATCTATACCTAGCAGAAATTGGAGCTTTAGTAGTGAGTATAACATTTGTGTTTGGATGTTTTGTCTACATTGTTGTTACTTACGTGCATATCTTTACTGCAGTTCTGAAAATCCCTTCTGTTCAGGGAAGGAAAAAGGCCTTCTCCACTTGCATACCCCACCTTGTTGTCTTCTCCGTATTTTGTTTCACAGGATGTTTTGCTTACCTTAGGCCTCCCTCTAAAACTCCATCTGACCTGGACTTTGCATTAACTGTGATGTATAGTCTTGTTCCACCCATGTTCAACCCAATAATCTATAGCATGAGAAATAAGGAGATCAAAAATGCTTTATCAAAACTGTTGGGTTTGAGGCAATCTTCTCTAGATATATCTTCCAGGATTGTTCTGAAAAGGTGAACTCTCTGTGTGTAAGAATAATTTAAGGGAGTTCCTGAAACACATCATCATTGCCAGTTACAGCTTCCAGATAAATTTAGCTATGCAGATTAAACATCTGCCCTGTGTCACATGGTCATCTTGCATTTATGCAGCTCAGTTGGATCATTCATGCTTTTGCTTTTCAGATCACATGCCTTGTTGATGTACCCATTTATGTACTTACTTATAGCCCACTGATCTGTTGCATGATTCTAAAAGTGGCCTACAGCAGGCTGAACACATTTCAGCAGACCTAATCCTCTGATTTATGGATAGTAAGAGGCCATATTTATCGTCTGCTCTGTCCCCCAACAGCATGCAAACAGTGATTTGACCAGAGTATTCAGGATTTCACAAAAGTGATGACACCTAGATGAACATATTGGGGCGGCGGGGGGGGGGGGGGAGGAATTCACAGATTTACTGGAATGTGAATTAACATCTCAACAAGAGAAGTGCATGCAGTTTGGAGGCAGTCAAAGAAACAAACACCGTCCTCTGATAAAGAAGTGTCACAGTGCTTGCAAAAATACAACCTACAAAAGTATATTGCCATGTAAGGCAGGATTAGAATAAAATACAGGACAACGCAGAGGCAGACTTTTGCATCACTAATGTAATAAAAACAGGCCAGGGGGCAAGGGAATGAACCACTCCCTTAGAGACAAATGTGAGGGTATAAGAGCTGGACACAGGAGCACAGGTAAATGTGATTGTGATGGACAGACCTTGAGTCAGCAACTAGTCAGAGTTGTTTAGAACAAAAGCCAATCTGGAGTCACAAATGCAGAATTTGACAGTTAAACAGATAGAAGGATTGCATATTGGCTAGATAGGGATTGTATGTCATTTAGATAGGAACCTATGGAGACATGGACATGCCTTGATTGGGATTAGGAATTAGTTAAACAGGGATTACCAATTTGATTCCCTGAGGGGGAAATAAAAATCCTAGAAGGGGCTGTGAGATTTTTGCTATGGCAAATGCCAATTATAGGTGAAAACTGTCTAACCCGAGAAGAGGTTTCAGTAAGAATGCTGACTGGGGTTTTAAAGTTCTCTGTAAATAGTGTCTGCTTGAAACTAGATATCGTGCCTCACATAAATAAGCACGTCTAAAATGAAGTGTTGTGCCTTAAAAGAGTTATCATTAAACTGGAACCCACAATGAGTTTAAATACATTAAAAGTTTATTTTTCTTCCTCTCACTACTTTGACCTCTGGGTTGGCAATAAGTGGATACAGGGCATCCTTCACATACCTGTAAGTAGAACACCTGGCTGCAGTTTAAATAAACACACATTACCACAAAGATTTAAAACTGTTACTTGGGAGAGTTGAATTGTTTAAACACCTAGAAAGTGAATCATGTTGTCCAGCTCTGATCTTTGGTGAGGGACTCTGACCAGAGATCACTGGCGCAATCTTTCAAAATCTTAAAAATAAAATAAAAAGCCTTGTCCTTTTAGAAAACAAAATAGAGGACAGGAAGTTCACAATGGGGAAGTAATTCCACACAAAGAATTCCTAGATCCAAAGCTTCCTAGATCCAACAGAGATCAAGTTGCTAGGTAGGTGGAGTTAGCAGACTCCAAGTAGGCTCTGTCCCTCCACTCTGCTGCTTCCTGGAATAAGCTGCAGTTGTAGCATGGCTCCCAGCTACAAAAGAGCCCAAGTGAACTGAATCTTCCCAAAATGTGATTTTACAGCCTGCATCTTTGCTAACTCAAAGATTGCATCTTCCTTTCTGTAACGAAACCAAGCTCTTTTCCTTTTAAGTCATTTAGAACATTTTACTTCTTTGTTTTGTTTTGTTTTGTTTGATTTACTTCCAATGGATGGAGATTTACCTGCTGCAACTTTTGAAACTATGTGAGTAGATATCTTCACCTACTTGCTAAGCTAAAGTGTCTATCATTTATTATAGCTGAAGTATTTACAGGGAAAATGTTTGTTTAAAGGTCGAGGGCGGCAGATGTAAATCCAACTAAGTTTTAATGTGCTTGGAGAAATCACAATTGTATCAACTCTACTATGAGAAGTTGAAGAATCTCCCTTCAAAACCTCTTTCTGCAACAAAATTACACAAAAATAGTCACAATTGAGAATAGCATTTGAGAGCTATCTTTTCCCAGGCATGGTTACCTCAGATTTTCAGGAATGATAATGACCCTCAGATTGCATCACAAATATTTAAGAAGTTTACTATATATATATTTTCAATGTTACCTCTAGTCCCACATACAGAGGCTTTAGTCTAGTGGGCTGGCATAAATCAAAGTGAAAATTGCAAAGGATTTGCTGAAAAAAAGCCTATGACTAACACAGGTTCTTATTTGGCATTACTAAATTACAAGGTCACATCACTAGAAAAGGGAAGATCCCCTGCTGAGCTTCTGTTTCATGGAAAAGTCAGGACCAGACTACAATGTGCGAAACACCTTAACTCTGACGTAACACAAGGTGTTCAGTCTCAGTTACATAAGAGATTGAGACAAAAATAATATCACTGATAGCTTGACAACTAAAGGTGACCTCAGATAGGCAAGCATTGCAATGCAACAGACTGCAACTCTTCTGGAGATCGAAAAGGAGAAGAAAGAATGGCAGAAGTGGGAGGAACACAGCAGAGGGGGGAAATGGAGTGGGGAATACTGAGCCAGTCGTACTTCACACAACTCTCTGTATCATGAAACTAAATAAAAACGTTATTCAAAAAAGAAAGAAAGAAATGAGTGTAAGAAAGTCCAGTTGAAACCAGAAGGTTCCATCAGCCAAGCACCCATTCCCACCACCCTTCTGAGAAATACTCCTCCCCACCCTCCCACTATATATAAGGGTCTGGTGACTTCTGTTTCAGAGTATCTGAAGAAGTGTTCATGCACACGAAAGCTTATACCCAGAATAACTTAGTTGGTCTCTAAGCTGCTACTGGACAATTTAAAAAAAAAATAAAAAAAAAATTTGGAAGGATTCTTTTAAAGACTGTTTTAGGACTTTTTTTTTTAAAAAGGACTTGATTCTTTTAAAGGATTTTTTTGGAATAGTTTTTTTTAATAATCTTTTCAAGATTTATTTATTTATTTCCACCGTGGCAGACCAACACGGCTACCTACCTGATTCTAGAAGGTTCTAGAGAGACTTATATAGCATTATTATTATTTTAAATGTTATGTAGTATGCTATTTTGAAACAGGAAGTTGTTTCTTTCTTTCTATTTAAATACCTTGATTATTTGTGTTAGAATCATGTGGCCAAGTCTTTAGAAACACTGCTTTAATTTTTGTGGGACTCCTGAGTCCAAGCTTCCAGGGACACAATTGATCATTTGTGTTAGGCTCTTGAGACCAAACTCTGAGGAGTGTGTGTGGGTTTTTGTGTGTGTGTGTGTACACATGTTATAATTTTCCACCCCATGGTAAAAGCTTCATTCTGCATGAGTATACAGATAGGTTCACTGTTCCAGAAGAAAAGGATGGGATGATTATTATTATTATTTAAAAAGATGAAAATAAAGTGATGAAGAAATTGCATCTGGAAATCAACTTTCTATTAAGGAAAAAAGTAAGATATTTATAAGTTTATAACTTTAGTGATACCTGTGTAGTTTTCAGAGGAGTAAACACAGACAATATTTCTATAGTGTATTGTGTAGAATCAGGAAACCTGCTTGTTGCAGTCTCTCCTGGAACTTATTGAGACTTGCATAGAATACCCAATGACCTGGTTTCCATGACATACTAAACCAAATATTATCTTGGGAAGATTGCACAAATGTTGAACATCATGGAGAGGAAAGCACAGTAGCTATACTCCTCCATGATCCTTTTTACTGTCAGCTCAAGCTGCTCCAAGTTTTGTTTCAGCATGTCATCCAAAACAGGACTAGCGGTTAGCCTCTCTCCTCACCAACCATGAACTTCAACCAAGAACAAACCTTCACTGCAGCTCCAAGTGAGTGAAGAGAGAGCTGAAGTACCTTTTCTTGGCTTAGCATAAGGAGGCAACAAAAAGGTCTGGGGAGGAGCAAAGCAGCTTTGAACCTATACATTTTACATGCAAAACAATGTGGTTTGTGCACAGCATGCATTAAAGTTAAAAACATATAACAAAGATAAGAACAGTTGAAACCTGTAACTAAGAAGGAGTACTAAATATTAGGCCTAGAATTTAGAATATAGATGAGTATGTGCCAAGTGTGTGAGACATGTGGAACTATTATCAGTGACTCTTGCCAAAGACCTCACTGAAAGAACAGGGATATTAGGAATCAAGCTTTTAACATATACATGACCCAGATTGTTATGGACATTGCATTTAATAGAATAAACTTGATTTTGAATCTGCATCATATAGGCAGCAAGTTATCCCCTTATATTTGAGAGTTACTTCAGTTTTGATGCTGAATTACAATATCAAAATACCTTTTGTAAATATGGGAATTCTCTCAAGGTACATCTGTCCTCTGCATATTGCCATATACTAAGCAAGTATGGCAATGATGGCAGTAGGACCTCTGTGTTCCTCCTCTAGCAGTGGCAGCATTAAACTTCAAGAGCTTGAGAACATCTACTAGTTTTGAAAAAGTGGGAAGTTTATTTTAAAATAATGATATATTATCTATATGAGTTGAAGGCTATGTTCTCATTTAAATAAATATTTGTTTCTCCTTTTTTGTTCACTTCTTTTACCTTCAACATCCAAAAACCCTCTTCCAATGTAGTAAATATTTGTTATCACAAGAGGACTTAAACCAATGTTTATCTTTCTGTTTTCTTCCAGTGACAGGAAATTTTTTATTAATGAAGGAGAAAATAAGTAATGAATCCTCTGTCTCTGAATTTCTGCTCCTGGAGTTTTCAGCTGTACGGGAACTGCAGATTCTACACTTCTCTCTGTTCCTGGCATTGTATCTGGCAACTGTATCTGGGAATCTTCTCATCATCTCTGCCATAGCTTTTGACGACCACCTTCACACTCCCATGTACTTCTTTCTGATGAACTTGGCCATCCAGGACCTAGGGGCTGTTTCAGTCACCATCCCCAAATCCATCGTGAATTCTCTCATGAATACCAGACACATTTCTTACACTGGATGCGTTGCTCAAGTTCTGTTGTTTCTTTTCTTCTTATCATCTGATATTTTCCTTCTTACAGTCATGGCATATGATCGCTATGTTGCCATTTGCAATCCATTACAATATGAAATGTTGATGAACAAGGCAGCCTGCAAACAAATGGTTGCTGGCGTGTGGGTCGCTGGCCTTCTGTATGCAGTCATGCACACAAGTGCAACTTTTGCAACCCCTTTCTGCTCCAACATTGTCAATCAGTTCTTTTGTGAGATCCCACAGTTACTTACACTTGCCTGCTCAAACTTCTACCTAATGGAAATTGGAGCTATAGTGGTGAGTATAATAGTTGTGTTTGGATGTTTTCTCTTCATTGTTGTCACTTATGTGCACATCTTTACTGCAGTTCTGAAAATCCCTTCTGTACAGGGAAGGAAAAAGGCGTTCTCCACTTGCATACCTCACCTTGTTGTCTTCTCCGTATTTTGTTTCACAGGATGTTTTGCTTACCTTAGGCCTCCCTCTAAGACTCCATCTGATGGGGACTTCGCATTAACTGTGATGTATAGTCTTGTACCACCCATGTTCAATCCAATAATCTATAGCATGAGAAATAAGGAGATAAAAAATGCATTATCAAAACTGTTGGCTTTGAGGAAATCTTCTCTGTATATATCTTCCAGGCTTGTTTTGAAAAGGTATAATTAAAGGGCGCTCCTGGAACACAGCATCATTTCAAGTTAAATTTTCCTAATAGATTCAGATATTCAAACTCAACATCTGCCTTGTTTCAAATGGTCATCTTGCATTCCTTCAGCTCAGCTCTATCACACTTTTGCTTGTCAGATCTCATGGCATGCTGATAATACATTTATGTATGTATGTTGAAGTTTATACCCCATTGTTCACTTGCATGGTTTTCAAAGTGGCCTATAACAGGCTGAACACATCTCAGTAGCACTTAATCCTCTGGTTTATGGATAGTAACAGGTCATGTTTCCTGTCTACTCTGTCACCCCACATCATGCAAAGAGCCATTTTAACAGACTATTCAGGTTTTCAGAGGAGTGACAGCACCTAGATGAAATGACAACACTGGTCTTGAAAGACCTACATTGCCTCCCAGTACGTTTCTGAGCACAGTTCATAGTGTTGGCCCACCTGCTGCAGATCGGACGTGCTGAAAACTATCAGATTTCAGTCCACTGCAATTTCTGTTATAATAAAGCTTTCTTTTCCAGAGACCTTTGTGAAAAGTTTGTCATGCACAGGGCTTTGGAAGGTGGGAATAGGCTCCAACCTCACAGGACAGCGGGCAGGAAACCGGTCAATTTTGACCTTCTATGCAGTATCCGCAACAAGTTAAGACTTGTCTCTGGTTAAAGATTGAGGCGAGACTCCTTTCAGTATTCCCTTGCAGTTTTGGTGTACTGAGAGTTGGGGAAATTGTGTTGGAGCCAGCATGGGGTGGAGAGTCTGGAGGCTTATTGCTTCAGGACTTTTCCTTATCTGCTTTGGAGCTTGTTGTTAGAGTCAGGAGCTCTAAGACAGACCTAGTGGGCAGGGGTGCCACCATCAGGCTTCCGGTCACTGGTGATGCAGGCCCTTGCCTAGGGCTCTTCATCCCCCTGGGGGCTGGCCCACTCCTAGAGCACTAAAACGGGTCCCTGTTAGCCAGGCATCAATTTGCTCATGTCGTGCGCCAGTTATTGCAGCCTGCGACTTGCCTACTGCCTAATTCCTTCCCAATAGGTGCTGCTACAAAGGCTGCACACTGGGGCCTGTCAGTGGACAGGATTATGAATAAGGCTTGTTGGAAGTCTGACGCTGACAAGGGTTACATCAGGAAGCGTCGCCAATGATGCCATTTGGATTGTTGTCCACAGCATCATGCACTGGGCTGGCAAGCGCGCTGACGAGTCTGGACTGGGGTGCCATCTTGGCTTTCCTGCCCATGTGAACGTATCCTGGATGTCCAGATAGGGAATGCTTTGGGAGGAGTTCCTCCCTTTGGTGCGGTCAAGTGTGACCTGTGAAGGTCTTCCCCCAGCGTTGGTGGTGCAGCTGCGCAAAAAGGTTTGCCGTCTTCCCTCAGCATAAGTTTGCGTTCCCGCGTGCAAGAGGACTTGGATGAGTTGATGGCAGCTCTCCCTGAACTCAAAATATTTTGGTTGCAATTGCTTCAGCGACATGTGTGACACGGCAGCCACTGCCCTGCTGCCACCGAGAAGGCCAGAAAGTGCGTGGATGGTGCAGTGGCCAAGAAGGTCCTAGCCTTGGGAGGTGTGGTTATCCGCCATGCAGACATTTCCTTCAAAGATGGGGTTTTGTACAGGTCAGATGGAGTACATCTTTTCTTTTGTTGACACCTTTTGGGGGGTAGGGCCACACAAGGGTCCCTGGGAGCATTTTGGGGTGAACTTGAGTCACGTGACCATACCAATGCTCCCCCATGGTGTTTACCTGTACTGACTATATGGTGGGGCCCAGTCGTCAGTGTTATCCTGCTGAGGTCAGGTGCAGCTAGTCAGGAACCAACGCCTAAACAAACCACTCACTATCTGATATCAATTTAATTGTGGCCAAAATTTTGCCAATAACCTAAAACTAAATTCCTTGTCAATTATTTCTTTATTATTGGGAAGCTCCTGGGAATCTTAACATGCAACCAAAAGATTGCATGTTCCTTTTTGCAAGGAAATGAAGCTCTTTTATTTCCGAGTCACTTTTTGAGATCACTTTTACTTCTTTAATTTTTGTACTGCCAATGGATAGAGACTTGCTTGCTGTAAGGTTTGAAACTCTGTGAGTAAATATCTTCACATATTTGCCAAGCTAAGTGTCTATGACTTGTTCTAGCTGAAGTATTTTTACAGAGAATCCAGTTAAGTTTTAATGTGCTTGGAGAAATAACCATTGTGCTAACTCAATCAAAAGAATTCTGAAATAGTCACACTTGAGAGCTATTCCCCCCCCCCCCCCCAGGCATGGGCCATAAGTTTGCATCACAGGTACTTAAGAAATTTTTTCATGTTACTTCTAGTCTCAAAAAGTCCCACTCTAGTGGACAGGCAGAAAGTGAAGTAAAGATTATAAAGTATTTGCAGGGGGGGGGGGGGGACAGACGGATGGACAGAACTTGAACTCAAAACAGATCCTTATTTGGCATCACAAAATTAATGTTTGGTTGGCCGATATTATCAAAGGCATAAGAGGTTGGTTGCAGGTGTGAAGGTATTGGTGGTGAGCTTTGGGCTCGCGTGGTGCTTAGGCATTGGAATAGTGTTGTGTGGGGGAGGAAAGGTGCAGCCATCACCTACCCCTCCATGCTTAAGGGTATTTTGTTAAAGGAATCTGGGGATATGGATCTCATCCAAAGCCTGTGGAGCGGCTAGGGCCATGCCAAGATCCCTTCAGGAATCCAGGGGATGCTCAATTTGATCCGCATCAGCAGGGCTCCCCCTACTGGTGGTTTACCCTTACAGACTTCCTGCAAGGCAGGCAGGAGTGGAGTCTGTTGTTGCCAATGCCTAAGCCAATACCGCTCACATTCTGTAACCAATAAAGTTGTGGCCTAAACTAACATTAACCTAAAATGCTGTGTCCTTGTGTCTTTATTTCTCTTGGGGGTGCCTTAGGGGCCTTGACACACAATTACAGGGCCACATCCTTAGAGCAGGGAAGCTCCCTTGATGAGCTCTTGTTTCATAGAAAACTCAGGACCAGGCCACCATGCATGTTAACACCTTAACTCTGATTTAATACAAGGTGTCCAATCCCAGATACATAAGATACTGAGACAAAAATGATATTATGGAACAGGGTTATGAGCACAGACTCCTCTGCAACCAAAGGTGATGGTTGAATGCATGACGGTATCTCAGGGACACATAGGGATGTTGTTAATGAAGAACTAGCTCTCAGACAGTATAAAATACAGACCTCAGATGAGCATATATTAAAATGCAATAAACAGCATCTCCTCCAGATATCCTAAATGGGAGAACACAGTGGGTAAGGGGAAATTACTGTACACGGGGAACACTGAGCTAGTTATACCTCACACAACTATCAGAAATGAGTCTCAGAAGGTCCAGTTGAAACAAGAAGGTTCCAGAAAGACTTATATGGCATTAACATCATCACTATTATTAGTATTAAATTATATGGTGGTTTTTTTAGAAACAGAAACATAAATAAATCTAAGTGTCTGTGGTTTATTCTAGCTTAAATATTTTCATGAGCAATGTTTAAGGTGGAAGTTTACATACTTTGATGGATTTGTGTTGGACACCTGGGACCAAGGCTTAACAAACACTCCTGCTGCTTTTTGTGGGGCTCCTGAGTCCAACCAACAAGGAACACAATTGCTGATTTGATTGAGGCTCTTGAGACCAAACTCCTAGGAACATAACTGTAACAATAGTAATAAATTTCCACCCCATGGTAAACTCTTCATTCTGCAAGAGTATAGAAACATTTTCACTGCCTCAGAAGAAAAGGCGGAAGAGATTAAAATAAAAATTAAAAAAAAGATCCATGGGTGGCTAGAAGAATACAGAACATCTTAAAGTGATAAAGAAATTTCATCTGGAAATTTATTTAAAGGAAAAGAGTGAGATGTTTCTATTTTTATAACTTTAGTGATACCTGTGTAGCTTTTGTGTAGTTTTTGGAGGGTTAAATCAACTATTGTGTATTATGTAGAATGTGAAATCCTGCTTGTTATGTGGTCTCTCCTGAAACCTATATAGACTGCACATAGAAAACCCAGTGACCTGGTTTCCATGATAACCTAAGCCAAATCTTAACTTAGTGAGACTTCACAAATGTGCAATGCCCTGGAAAGAAGATTACAGGAGCTTTGCCGTGCTCCTTTTTGCTTTCATCTTAGGCTACTCCAGGTTTTGACTTGCACACCATCCAAACCAAGACTAGTGGTTAGCCTCTCTCCTCACCAACCATGAGCTGCAACCAAGAACAAACCTTCACTGCAGCTCCTAGTGAGTTAGGAGAGAGTTTTAGCACTTTGCTTGTCTTATCTTGTCTTGTCATAGTGTGGCAGCAAAAAGATCTGGGGAGCAGCAAAGCAGCTGTAAGCTTCTCTCCAAGAGTCTATACATTTGTACATTTATAAGACTGTGGTCTGTCCACAGCGCACATTAAGGTTAAAAACATACAACAAACATTAAAACACCTGAAACCTCTGTGGTCTCAACTAGGAAGGAATTGCAAAGCATTGAGCCCAGAATACTGAATACATGCCTCCTGGGAAGTATGTGCTCTGTGTCTGAGCCATGTGGAATCACTACCAGTGATTCAGTCAAATACCTCACTGATCAAACAGGGATGTTAGGAAACAAGCTGTTAAGGTATTGTACACTCAAGTTGTGATGGGCATTGCACTGGAAATTAACACAAAACCCACAAATTTTAGTCTCCATTATATGGGCACCTAATCATCCTCCTATATTTAAGTATTACTGTAATTCTAAGTAATTATCAAAATGTGTGTTGTAAATATGGAGATGATGGCAAGAGGCATCTCCCCTCTCCACATTGTTTCTGCAGACTTCCACATAGACAGAAAATATGCCAAAGATGGACATAGAACTACAGAAGTGGCAGCATCCACCCCACTCAATCGCAATTGGCCAAAAGAGGCCTGGGGTGATCGTGATGCCACTCTGGCGTAAAGGGCATCACTCCCCCCATACCAGGGGTGGGGGAACTGTGTTGTGGGCCTGCCTGCAACCAGGACCATCCTTTAAGATGATCCAGTTTGTGAGCAGCACCATCTACTAGTTTTGAAACAGCAGTAGTTTATTTTTTTTATTTATGGTTGTCAGTTATATACATTTCAATAGTTTTACAATTATTTTATCACTTCAAAACTCGACACATTCCGTGGTTCCTTAATTTTTATGTTTATTTTCATTTCCAGAATATTCTAAATTATCTTAACGGATTCTTTCATTCATCTACTTTAATTATATACTCTTATGAAACTGCAGCTTAGTACAACAATTTGTTCATAAATATTCAGTAATGACCGCTCCCCACATGGGGGCGCCCTTTGTGTGGTCATGTGCAGCCCCCTGGACCCTATGTGGCACCATTGCCACAGGCTTGGCTTCACCTCCCCCCAGGTGGGATACCTGGAGGTCTCCGTCTACCTCAGTCCATTCTTTAATAAAATGTTTGTTAGCTTGATTTCTTATTTTTCCAGTACATTTTGCCACTTCTGCATAGTCCATAAGTTTTTGTATCCATTCTTCTTTTGTCGATTCTTCTTTTTCTTTCAATTTTTGGGAAAATAACTTTCTTGCCATTGTAGTAGCATACGTGAATAAATTTCAATGCTCTTTGGGTAGCTCTACCCCTATAATTCCCAGAAGAAAAAAGACTACTTAGCAATAATTTATTTTAACATATATGGAGTTGAAGCTAACATCTCCTTTACATGAAGATTTATTATTACACTATTTTGTTCACTACTTTTTAAAAAATCTATATCCCACAAAAATCATATCTGAAGCAGTATTGGATAACAAATATTGATTATTAGAAAAGGACTTAAACCTGTGCTTATCTTCCTGTTTTCTTCTAGAAGCACCAGTCATTTTAGTAATGAATGCAAAGATAGGCAATGAATCCTCTATCTCTGAATTTCTACTCCTGGAGTTTTCAGCTGTACGGGAACTGCAGATTCTACACTTCTCTCTGTTCCTGGTATTGTACATGGTAATTGTATTTGGGAATCTTCTCATCATCTCTGCCATAGCTTTTGACCACCATCTTCACACTCCCATGTACTTCTTTCTGATGAACTTGGCCATCCAGGACCTAGGGGCTGTTTCTGTCACCATCCCTAAATCGATGGCCAATTCCCTCATGAATATCAGACACATATCTTACACTGGATGTATTGCTCAAGTTCTTTCATTTTTCTTTTTCTCATCATCTGATGTTTCCCTTCTTACAGTCATGGCATACGATCGCTATGTTGCCATTTGCCATCCATTACAATATGAAATGGTGATGAACAGGGCAGCCTGCAAACAAATGGTTGCTGGTGTGTGGGTCTCTGGCTTTCTCAATGCGGCCATGCACACTAGTGCAACTTTTGTGACTCCTTTCTGCTCAAACATTGTCAATCAGTTCTTTTGTGAGATCCCACAGTTACTTACACTTGCCTGCTCTAACATATACCTAATGGAAATTGGAGCTATAGTAGTGAGTGTAATACTTATGTCTGGATGTTTTGTCTTCATTGTTGTCACTTATGTACATATCTTTACTGTGGTTCTGAAATTTCCTTCTGTTCAGGGAAGGAAAAAGGCCTTCTCCACTTGCATACCTCACCTTGTTGTCTTCTCCGTATTTTGTTTCACAGCAGCATTTGCTTATCTTAGGCCTCCCTCAAAAATTCCATCTAATGGGGACTTTGCAATAACTGTGATGTATACCATTGTACCACCCATGTTCAATCCAATGATTTACAGCATGAGAAATAAGGAGATTAAAAATGCTGTATCAAAGCTCTTGGGTGTGAAGCACTCTTCTATTAATATCTTTTCCAGACTTATACTGAAACGATTACACTTCTCTCTGTAGGTATAAGCATTGGGATCTGTGGAGATATGACCAGTTACATCTTCTAGATACATTTTGATATGCAGACTCAAAATCTGCCAGGTGTCACAATGACATCTTGTGTTCCTCCAGCTTAGATGTACCATTAACAATGTTGCATCTCTGTTCACATAGCCTGTTAATCATACATTTAAAGAGGGAATGTCTGTCATATAGTGCATGTGTACCCTTTCTGACCCAGTGCATTCATCTGGCAATCAGCTTTTCTGGGATTGTCATTTCTTTTTATTTAAAGCTAAAGTGGGTTTTCTAGCCATGGGAAAAGGAAAAATGTGGATGAGCCCTTGTTTAGGAACTTCAGATGAGAAGGACCTGTTCTGATTGGATTTTGGGATTAGTTTTAGAAGGCTACCCAATTGCTTCCTTGAGGCTAAGGAAAAAACCCTAGAAGGGGCTATGAGATTCTTGCTAGGCAGTGACACGAATATCCATTTTAGTTAGAAAAGGTCTATCCTGAGACTAGTTTTAAACTAGTGTTTTGACTGGGGTTTATAAGTTCTGTGTAAAGAGTTTTTGCCTGAAACTATTGCATCCCACTCAAGTAACATTTCTAAAATGAAGTGTTGTGCCTTAAGACAGTGACTATTAAGTTTGAATCCTCAATGAATGTAAATCTATAAAATTCTATCTTTGTTCCAGAAGTGCCTCCTCTTTACTTTGAACCTTTGGTGGCAGATAAGTGGACACAGGGCATCCTTCCCATAAGTAGAACACCTGGCTGTTTTTTACCGACAAAGAGTTAAAATGCCTCCAGTGTTGTTACTAGGGAAAGTTGTATCTTTTAGAAAGCCAGGAAATTGGTCATGTTTCCCACCTCCCATCTTTAGTAAGGGAATCTGATACAGTGGCCACTGACACAGTTTCTCAAAATCTTAAAAAACAAAACCACATCCTTTTGGAAAATGTAAGAGTTAAGATCCACATGGGGAAAGTAATTCTACAAAGGAAATCGAGGGTCAGCTTCCCAGAACAGATAGAGTCCATCCTATTTGTGATAGTGTATGGAAATACAGAACCATTGCTTGGAGAAAAAACTAGTCATGCTCTGGGATTCATTGAAAGATGACACACAATTTGCCAAATAAAAACATTCACGTTGAACAAAGGTACCCTTATGTTTTTGGAGGAATGGGTAAAGTGAGCGATGTATATAAAATCTAAATACTATAGCCAAAAAGACCAGTGACACATGTTCCTTGCAAAGTTCCTTTGGACCTCACAAGGCTGTTGTTGTTTTTGTTGTTGTTTAGTCATTTAGTCGTGTCCGACTCTTCGTGACCCCATGGACCAGAGCACGCCAGGCACTTCTGTCTTCCACTGCCTCCCGCAGTTTGGTCAGACTCATGTTTGTAGTTTCGAGAACACAGTCCAACCATCTCGTCCTCTGTCGTCCCCTTCTCCTTGTGCCCTCAATCTTTCCCAACATCAGGGTCTTTTCCAGGGAGTCTTCTCTTCTCATGAGGTGGCCAAAGTATTGGAGCCTCAGCTTCACGATCTGTCCTTCCAGTGAGCACTCAGGGCTGATTTCCTTAAGAATGGATACATTTGATCTTCTTGCAGTCCATGGGACTCTCAAGAGTCTCCTCCAGCACCATAATTCAAAAGCATCAATTCTTCAGCGATCAGCCTTCTTTATGGTCCAGCTCTCACTTCCATACATCAAGGCTGGAAGTACTCAAATGTATGGAATCTTTATGAATAAATGAAAAGAACTTCATGTTCTGTAGACATGGCATGCTAAGATAGTCTAAAGATTTGAACACAATATTCTGATTATTAATTGTCCATAGTTATCTCCAGAGTAGGCATAGGAACTGCTTTTATAATGTATTTTTTTAAAAACAACAACAACAACAACAACAACAACCAAATGTTAACTTGTTAATTTATGTATTTGTATGTCAGTCACTATATTTTACCCAGGGCAACCAAAGTCAACAGTGATACACCTTAAATCTTACATAGATATGGAAACTCTGGAGACAAGTAGTATGTGCTACAAGCCCTCTCACCAACCCCAAAAGCAACCACACACAAATAGAATTAGAGGTGCTGGCCCTTGTATTTGAATGTAAAAAAATCCACAAATTTATATTTAGAGACCAATATTAGCAGAAACAGATGTGAAACCCCATGTCTGCATTGCAAATGGTAGTTTCAAGGATACCCTTCCAACCATTTTCCCCCCTGGTGGAATACTATAGTATTTCCTTAGAGTTATTATTATTATTATTTAACTACTTATTAGATTTAAAAACCAACCTTCATCACAAGCTCTCATGACAATTCACAAGATAAACACCTGGGTGAAATTTAGAGCATTGACCAAAACACAGCGGGGGGGGGGGGGAGAGAGAAGGAGCGGGGAACACTGAGCCAGTCATACGTCATACAACTCTCGGTACCATGAAAATAAATAAAAACATTATTTTTTTAAAAAAAGAAGAAATGAGTCTGAGAAAGTCCAGTTGAAACCAGAAGGTTCCAGACAGACTTGTGTAGCAATATTATTATTTTAAATATTAGAAAGTATGCTGTTTAGAAACTGGAAGTTTTGTTTTGTTTTGTTTTTTACATACCTTGATTATTTGTGTTAGACTCCTGGGGCTAAGTCTTTAGAAACACTGCTTTAATTTTAGTGTAACTCCTGAGTCCAAGTTTCCAGAGACACGATGGCTAATTTGTGTTGGGCTCTTGAGACCAAACTCTGAGGAGTGCATTAGACACACACACACACACACACACACACAGAGAGAGAGAGAGAGAGAGAGAGAGGTTATAATTTTCCACTCCATGTTAAAAGCTTCATTCTGCAAGAGTATACCCATATGTTCAATGTTACAGAACAAAAGGATGGGGTGATTTTCTAAAATACAGATGAAAATGAAGTGATGAAGAAATTGCATCTGGAAATCTACTTTCTACTAAGGAAAAGAGTAAGATATTTACTGGTATATGTTTAGAACTTTTGTGATAGCTGGGTAGTTTTCAGAGGACTAAACGTAGACAATACTTCTATAGTGTATTGTGTAGAATGGGAAAACGTGCTTGTTGTGGTTCCTGGAACTTATTTAGACTCACGTAGAATACCCAATGATCTGGCTTCCATGACATGCTAAACCAAATTTTATCTTAGGAAGACTGCACAAATGTTGAACCTCATGGAGAGAAGAGTACAGTAGCTTTGCTCCTCCATGATGCTTTTTATGGTCAGCTCAAGCTACTGTAAAGTTTGGTTTTAGCCTATCATCCAAGCCAAGACTAGTGGTTAGGCTCTCTCCTCACCAACCATGAATATTAACCAAGAAAAAAACTTCATTACCGCTCCAAGTGAGTGAGGAGGGAGCTGAAGAACCTTGTCTTGGCTTAACATAATGTGGCAGCCAAAATATCTGGGTAAGCGCAAAGCAGCTGTGAGCCTATACATTTTACATGCAAAACAATGTGGTTTGTGTGCAGCATGCATTAAGGTTGAAAACATATAACAAAGATAAAAATAGTTGAAACCTGTGTGATCTTAACTAAGAAGGAGTACTAAACATTAGGCCTAGAATACAGAATGCAGGTGAGTATGAGCCAAGTGTGTGAGTCTTGTGGAACTATTATCAGTTACTCCTGCAAAAGACTCACTGAGTGAATGGGGATATCAGGAATCAAGCTTTGAACATGTCCATGACCCAGATTGTTATGGACATTGGAATTTAAGAGAAGAAACTTGATTTTGAATTTGCATCATATAGGCAGCAAGTTATCCCCCTATATTTAAGAGTTACTTCAGTTTTGACCATGAATTACAATATTAAAATATGTTTTGTAAATATGGGGATTCTCTCAAGGTGCATCTGCCCTCAGCATATTTCCACAAACAAAGCAAGTAAGGAAATGATGGCAGTAGGACTCCTGTGTTCCTCCTCTAGAATTCAATCAACTTCAAGAACTTGTGAACACCACATTCTACTAGTTTTGAAACAGTGGTAGTCTTTTTTAAAATAATGATATCGATATGGAATTGAAAGCTAAATTCTCATTTGAATAAAAAATAATTGTTTCTCCTTTTTTGTTCACTTCTTTCTTTTACCTTCAACATCCAAAAACCCTCCTCCAAAGCAGTAAATATTTGTTATCACTAGAGGACTTAAACCAATACATATCTTCCTGTTTTCTTCCAGTGACAGGAAGATTTATATTAATGAAGGAGAAAATAAGTAATGAATCCTCTGTCTCTGAATTTCTGCTCCTGGAGTTCTCAACAATACGAGAACTGCAGATTCTACACTTCTCTCTGTTCCTGGCATTGTATCTGGCAACTGTATCTGGGAATCTTCTCATCATCTCTGCTGTAGCTTTTGACCACCACCTTCACACTCCCATGTACTTCTTTCTGATGAACTTGGCCATACAGGACCTAGGGGCTGTTTCAGTCACCATCCCCAAATCCATCGTGAATTCTCTCATGAATACCAGACACATTTCTTACACTGGATGCGTTGCTCAAGTTCTTTTATTTGTTTTCTTTTTATCATCTGATTTTTCCCTTCTAACAGTCATGGCATATGATCGCTATGTTGCCATTTGCAATCCATTACAATATGAAATGTTGATGAACATGGCAGCCTGCAAACAAATGGTTGCTGGTGTGTGGGTAGCTGGAATTCTTAATGCAGTCATGCACACGAGTGCAACTTTTGCAACCCCTTTCTGCTCCAACATTGTCAATCAGTTTTTCTGTGAGATTCCACAGTTACTTACACTTGCCTGCTCAAACTTCTACCTAATGGAAATTGGAGCTATAGTGGTGAGTATAATAGTTGTGTTTGGATGTTTTGTCTTCATTGTTGTCACTTATGTGCACATCTTCACTGCAGTTCTGAAAATCCCTTCTGTACAGGGAAGGAAAAAGGCGTTCTCCACTTGCATACCTCACCTTGTTGTCTTCTCCGTATTTTGTTTCACAGGATGTTTTGCTTACCTTAGGCCTCCCTCTAAGACTCCATCTGATGGGGACTTCGCATTAACTGTGATGTATAGTCTTGTACCACCCATGTTCAATCCAATAATCTATAGCATGAGAAATAAGGAGATAAAAAATGCATTATCAAAACTGTTGGCTTTGAGGAAATCTTCTCTGTATATATCTTCCAGGCTTGTTCTGAAAAGGTGTAATTAAAGGGAGTTCCTGGAATATAGCATCATTTCAAGTTAAATCTTCCTGATAAATTCATATATGCAGACTCAACATCTGCCCTGTGTCACATGGTCATCTTGCATTCCTTCGCTTGTCAGATTACATGGCATGTTGATAATCCATTTATGTATGTATGTTGAAGTTTATACCCCATTGTTCACTTGCATAGTTTTCAAAGTGGCCTACAACAGGCTGAACACATCTCAGTAGCACTTAATCCTCTGGTTTATAGATAGTAACAGGTCATGTTTCCTGTCTACTCTGTCACCCCACATCATGCAAAGAGCCATTTTAACAGACAATTCAGGTTTTCAAAGGAGTGACAGCACCTAGATGAAATGATTTTTGGTCTTTGCCTGGATTTCATAGATTTACTGGAATGTCACATGCGCACATATCTGAATTAACATCTCAGCAAAAAGTACATGCATGTTGGAGGCAGTCAGAAATACAAACACTGCCCTGTGATAGGGAAGTGTCAGAATGCATGGGAAATAATACAAACTCTTTGCAAAAATATGTTGCCATCTAAAGGAAGCTCAGGAGAAAACACAAAAGAGACATACCTCCTCACCCGCCAGTGTAGATTTTTACATCACTCCTGAAACAAGAACAGATCAGGGACCAGAGGTATTCACCATTCCCTTAGAAACATATGGAAGTGTGATGGAATAACAAATAGATAAATGTGATTGCAGTGGACAGATCTTGAGTTAGCAGCAGTCAGAGATTGTTAGAACATCAACCAATCTGGAAGAACTGGTGAGTAAAAAATACAGAACTTTGCTGTCCAACAAATTGGGATTTTATGCAGTTAGATAGGGACTGTTCGTCATTTAGACAGCAACCTGGAGAGAGAAGGACCTATTCTGATTGGGATTAGGAACTACTGTAGCTAAACATGGATAACAAATTTGATTCCTTGAAGGGGAATTAAAAGTCTTAGAAGGGGTTGTAAGATAGTTGCTAGGGCAGTGAAACAAATGCCCATTGTAAGTGGAAATAGTCTATCCTGAGAAGAAGTTTGAAGAAAAGTGCTGACTGGGGTTTTAAAGTTCAGTGTAAAGAGTGTCTGCCTGAAACGACATGCTGTGCCTTACATGAATATGCATGTATAAAATGAAGTGTTGTGCCTTTGAAGAGTAACCATAAAGCTGGAACCCACATGTAAGTGTAAGGAAACTGAAGTCTCTAGTGTTGTTAATAAGGAGAGTTGTATCTTTTAAACAGAAAATTGGTCATGCTATCCAGTTCCCATTTTCAGTTTAGAGAGTCTGTCACAGTGATCACTGACACAAAGTATCAGAATCTTAAACAACAAAACAAAACAAAAACCTAGTCCTTTTAGAAACAAAATATTAGACCATAGTTTTACACTGGAGAAGTAATTCCACACAGAGAATGTTGGCATAATTCCGTTCCACCTTAAGAACAGACGTGTGGAATTGTTGTATGTCACATGCCTGTTTACACTTCAGCACAGCTTGCTGGGAACTTTCGTTTTGTGTATAGCTATTGCTAATGCTGCTTGTTTTGGACATGAAGGGGATCAGACATGTTTTCCTTTTGTCCTGATGTATGCTGAATAAACTGCTTGTAAATATGCTCACACATACTTCTGTTGCGTAGCGTTATCTCTGCTGATTAGAGCATGCCCTAGCTTTTGAAGTTTGGGCCGCTGATTCATGTGGCACCAAGGACTGGAGTTTGTCCGGTACACCAGCTGGTGGGATGGAGCCAGCTGGGGGCCTCCCAATTGCCCCCGCCTCCTTGGTTGTATGCCAACAGAGAATTGAGGGTCAGCTTCCAAGATCAGATGGAGGCTATCTCATTTACAATATTATGTGAATACAGAACTTTTGCTAGGACTAAAAACTTTTCATGCTCTGGGACTTATTGAAAGATGACACACAATAAGCCACACAAAAGACTTCATATTGAACAGAGGTATCCTTATTTCTTTTAAGGAATAGGCAAGGTGAACATTGTATTTAAATGGAAAACACCAATACACATAAAGAGTTTGTGTTTATGCACATTTGTTGTTTAGTCGTTTAGTCGTGTCCAACTCTTTGTGACTCCATGGACCAGAGCAGGCCAGGCACTCCTGTCTTCCACTGCCTCCCGCAGTTTGGTCAGACTCATGCTGGTAGCTTCGAGAACACTATCCAACCATCTCGTCCTCTGTCGTCCCCTTCTCCTTGTGCCCTCCATCTTTCCCAACATCAGGGTCTTTTCCAGGGAGTCTTCTCTTCTCATGAGGTGGCCAAAGTATTGGAGCCTCAGCTTCACGATCTGTCCTTCCAATGAGCACTCAGGGCTAATTTCCTTAAGAATGGATGCGTTTGATCTTCTTGCAGTCCATGGGACTCTCAAGAGTCTCCTCCAGCACCATAATTCAAAAGCATCAATTCTTCGGCGATCAGCCTTCTTTATGGTCCAGCTTTCACTTCCATATATCACTACTGGGAAAACCATGGCTTTCACTATATGGACCTTTGTTGTCAAGGTGATGTCTCTGCTTTTTAAGATGCTGTCTAGGTTTGCCATCACCTTTCTCCCAAGGAGCAGGTGTCTTTCAATTTCGTGGCTCCTGTCACCATCTGCAGTGATCATGGAGCCCAAGAAGGTAAAATCTCTCACTGCCTCCATTTCTTCCCCTTCTATTTGCCAGGAGGTGATGGGCCCAGTGGCCATGATCTTCGTTTTTTTGATGTTGAGCTTCAGACCATATTTTGCGCTCTCCTCTTTCACCCTCATTAAAAGGTTCTTTAATTCCTCCTCACTTTTTGCCGTCATGGTTGTGTCATCTGCATATCTGAGGTTGTTGATATTTCTTCCTGAAGGAATGGGTTTCCAAAACCCAAAAACTGACTGTGCAGGCAGTTTTTAAACTGCACCAAAATCCCTATTTTTCCTTAGCTAAAATGCATAAACTCAAGCCGTTGAGTAAATCCATAACAAGAACAGAGCCCTCTCCTTTATCAGTTGTGACGGCAACTATGGCCTTCACTGTACCAGTAGTAGAACAGAACAGAGAGAAGACACGTCAGAACTTTATCTTATGTGCTGACCACAAAGACGCGCAGACCCAATCTGGGAACAGCGCCAGAGCGTGTTCCCGCAGATGATGACCTATTCTCCCAGATAAGAGTAGGAAGAGGAAGATCCTTTTATGGTCAGGGTGCAGGAAGGAAGATCCTTTTATGGTTGAGAGTACCAGAGCAGGAACATATGTGATGTCAACCTGTGTACGTAGGCCGACGTGGTTGGGCTCCTAGGGGAGGAGTGAGAGGGTGCCTGGAGGATATATAAACTGCATGAAACCTGTCATTTCTTTGGACTTGCTGTGGACTTGATCACGCAAGTGCCTTCTGCTATCCGGACAGCAGAATAAACTCTTTCTTTGAATCAACCTCAGGTGTTATTTGACTTCCTTCCTCCTGTCCCGGAGCAACACTGACCCAATCGGTGAATTCCAATAAGGCTACATTCCGGAGATTCCGGTGTACAGTTCTTCTGGACTTTGAAGTAAAGATATATATGTATAGAGATCTGCTAACACTATCACCATGCTAGCTAATACAGTGGTGCCCCACAAGACGAATGCCTCGCAAGACAAAAACTCACTAGAAGAAAGGGTTTTGCGGTTTTTGAGCTGCTTCGCAAGACAAATTTCCCTATGGGCTTGCTTTGCAAGACGAAAACGTCTTGCAAGTTTGTTTCCTTTTTCTTAACACTGTTAATAAGTTGCGACTTGACTTCGAGGAGCAACTCATAGAATGCGGTGTGGTAGCCTTTTTTGAGGTTTTTGGTGATTTTTGAAGCTTTTCCAAAACTTTTCCGACACCGTGCTTCGCAAGACGAAAAATTCGCTAGACGAAAAATCTCGCGGAACGAATTAATTTCGTCTTGCGAGGCACCACTGTACTGCTTTGTAAAACCTACAACCTCTTCCCCTTTCTCTCACAGATTCAGGCCCTGACACGCAAGCAGGACAGCAACAGGAAGTGCACAACAAAACCATAATGAAAGCAAAGCCCTGGAGATTATTATACCTTTGTCTATGTGTAGACATAATTCCTGAAGCAATGGCTTAGTAAGTCATATACTCAACCTCATTGGTGTTGCCATGGTAACAAAGTGCACCTGGCAACCTTATCTCAGAACATTCAGACATGGTGGATGTGCGCCTTAAGACATGAGCCCAAGCACTCTGTAATTTAACCTATTGTTCATATTACACCACAAGACAATGTATCACATTTTTAAAGGAATTAATAGCAGTAAGATATACATGAAATCCTTGCTTGTGGTAGTATTATCACAGAACCTGATGAATGACTACAGCAAGTTTTTGAATATGTTCAGGACACAAATAGAAAAAAGAGGTGCTGAATGTAAAACAATTCACACCTTTCTATGTGGGAGACCAATATAAGCAGGACAAACCACAAACTGTTAGTCACCTTTGCAAGCAAGGGCCTCAAGAACACTCCAAGTATTATTTTTCTCCAGGTGAAATCTATGGTATTTCCTTTGAGTTTACACCTGGTTGAAATTTAGTGGTGGCTCTTGCATTACCCAGAGCTTTTAGCACAGTGAGATAAGCAGTGAGACTGACTGTGAGGTGGTATGTGTGAACTGATAGTTTAAAATTTGCCAGTCCCTACAAGTGCATGCACTGAACTGAGATAGGGCAAAATAATACTCTTCAGATGGTTATATATGCTCCTTGCAAGATAGTGCCTCTAGCCCCAACTGTTCCTCCATGAGAAATTTCACTGCATGCCACTGAACTAGTGGGGTGGCAGAAAGCAATGTAAAAATTATAAAGCATTTATGGAAAAGCCCTTAGACTCAAAACAGATCTTTATTTCGCATTACAAAATGACTGGGCCACATAACTAGATAAACGAAGATCCCCTGCTGAGCTCTAGTTTAATAGAAAACTCAGGTCAGACTACAACATGCAGAACACATTAACTCTGACTTAACACAGGGTGTTCAGTCTCAGATACAAAAGAGACAGAGACAAAAATGTATGATGGCACAGGGTTATGAACATACATCCCACTACAACCAAAGGTGATGGTCAAAATGTATGATGGTATCATAGAGACATGTAAGGCTCTTAACAGAAAGTAACTCCCAGGTCATATCAAATACAGACCTCGAATTGTCAAGTATTCAAATGCCACAGAAAGTATCTAGTTCAGATATCATAAAAGGGAGGAAAGAATAGCAGAAGTAGGAAGAACACAGTGGGGGGGATACTGAGCTGGTCATATCTCACACAAGTATTTTAAATATTATACAGTAAGTGGTTTTGAAACAGGATGGTTTAGTTGCATATCTTCAGTATTTGTGTTAGACCCATTGGGCAAAGTCTTTAAAAACACCATGGTTGTTTCTTGTGGGACTCTTGAGTCCTAGCATCCAGGAAAACAATTGCTATTTTGTTTGGGGCTCTTGAGACCAAGCTCCCAAGAACATAAATATAATAATGGTACTAATTTTTCACCCCATGGTAAAATCATCGTTCTGCAAGTATATACAAACATTTTCACTGTCTCAGAAGAAAAGGACAGAGAGATTTTTTAAAAAGAAAAAAAGATCCACGAGTGGCTAGAAGAATACAGAACATCTTAAAGTGATGAAGAAATTGCATCTGGAAATCTATTTTTTATAAAGAAAAATAGTAAGATGTTTAATTTTATAACATTAGTTATACCTGGATAGCTTTCGGAGAACAAAATGCAGACAATGCTACTATAGTCTATTGTGTAGAATGGGAAATAGTGCTTGTTTTAGATTTTTCCTGAAACCTGACATAGACTGCAAATAGAAAAACCAGTGACCTGGTTTCCATGACAAGCTAAGCCAAATTTCTTGCTGCTGTAGTGACATGCATTAATAAATTTCTATACTGTTTGGGTAGTTCTGCCCCTATAATTCCCAGAAGAAAAAGCACTACTTAGCAGTAGTTTATCTTAGGACGATGGTGCAGTATCAATATGGAGCTGAAAGCTAAGTTCTCCTTCAGATGAAGATTTATTATTACACTATTTTGTTCACTTCTTTCTTTTAAATCTATTTCCCACAAAAACCACATCCAAAGCAGTATTGGTTACCAAATATAAGTTATCAGAAGAGGACTTAAACCTATACTTAATCTTCCTGTTTTCTTCTAGAAGCACCAGTCATTTTAGTAATGAATGCAAAGATAGCCAATGAATCTTCTGTCTCTGAATTTCTACTCCTGGAGTTTTCAGCTGTACGGGAACTGCAGATTCTACACTTCTCTCTGTTCCTGGTATTGTACATGGTAATTGTATTTGGGAATCTTCTCATCATCTCTGCCATAGCTTTTGACCACCACCTTCACACTCCCATGTACTTCTTTCTGATGAACTTGGCCATCCAGGACCTAGGGGCTGTTTCTGTCACCATCCCTAAATCGATGGCCAATTCCCTCATGAATATGAGACACATTTCTTATGCTGGTTGCATTTCTCAAGTGCTTTTATTCTTTTTCTTTGTATCATCTGATGTTGCCCTTCTTACACTCATGGCATATGATCGCTATGTTGCCATTTGCAATCCATTACAATATGAAATGGTGATGAACAGGGCAGTCTGCAAACAAATGGTTGCTGGTGTGTGGGTTGCTGGAATCCTTAATGCAGTCATGCACACGAGTGCAACTTTTGCAACCCCTTTCTGCTCCAACATTGTCAATCAGTTTTTCTGCGAGATTCCACAGTTACTTACACTTGCCTGCTCAAACTTCTATCTAATGGAAATTGGAGCTATAGTGGTGAGTGTAATACTTGTGTCTGGATGTTTTGTCTTCATCGTTGTCACTTATGTACACATCTTTACTGTGGTTGTGAAACTCCCTTCTATTCAGGGAAGGAAAAAAGCCTTCTCCACTTGCATACCACACCTGGTTGTCTTCTCCTTATTTTGTTTCACAGCAGCATTTGCTTATCTTAGGCCTCCCTCAAAAATTCCATCTAATGGCGACTTTGCAATAACTGTGATGTATACCATTGTACCACCCATGTTCAATCCAATAATTTACAGCATGAGAAATAAGGAGATTAAAAATGCTGTATCAAAGCTCTTGGGTGTGAAGCACTCTTCTATTAATATCTTTTCCAGACTTATCCTGAAAAGGTTACATTTCTTTCTGTAGGTCTAAGCATAAGGAACTGTGGAGATATCATGACCAGTTACAGCTTCTAGATACATTTTGATATGCAGACTCAAAATCTGCTGGGTGTCAAAAGGACCTCCAGCATAGATATACCATTAACATTGTTGCTTCTCTGTTCACATAGCCTGTTAATTATGCATTTAGAGAGGGACTGTTTATCATTTTGTGCATGTCTAACCCTTTCTCTTCTCCAACAGCATTCATCTGATAACAAGCTTTTCCATAGAATGCCATTTCTTTTTATTTAAAGCTAAAATGGGTTTTCCCGAGGAAATGAGTAGGGAAAGGAGAAAACAACCCTATTCACACCCTTGGTTTCTAACTATGGAAGAAGTAAAAGTGTGGATGAGCCCTTGTTTAGGAACTTCAGATGAGAAGGACCTGTTCTGATTGGATTTAGGGATTACCGGTAGTTTTAGAGGGCAACCCAATTTGCTTCCCTGAGGCTGAGAAAAAAAATCCTAGAAGGGGCTGTGAGATTCTTGCTAGAATTAACAAATGTCCATTTTAGATGGAAATAATCTATCCTGAAACTAGTTTTAAATAAGAGTGCTAACTGGGGCTTAAATGTTCTCTGTAAAGAATTTTTGCCTGAAACTATTGTGCCCCACATAAGTAACATTTCTAAAATGAAGTGTTGTACCATACCATAGTGACTATTAACCTGGAATCCTCATTGTATACTGTATATAAAATTGTTCCAGAAGTGTCTCCTCATTACTTTGAACCTTTGGTGGCAGATAAGTGGACACAGGGCATCCTTCCCATAAGTAAAACACCTGGCTGGTGCTGTTGTTTTTTTACCAAGAAAGAGTTAAAACAGCTGTATCTTTTAAAAACCCAGGAAGTTGTTCGTGTTTCCCACCTCCCATCTTTAGTTAGGGAAATTGACACAGTGGCCACTGACACAATTTCTCAAAATCTTAAAAAACAAAACCACATACTTTCGGAAAATATAAGACTGGAGTTTCACACAGGGAAAGTAATTCCACACAGGGAGTTGGTGGTAAGCTTCCCAGAACTGATAGAGTTCATCCTATTTGTGATAGTGTATGGGAATAAAGAACTATTGCTTGGAGAGAAAAAAAAAGTCATGCTCTGGGATTCATTGAAAGATGACACGCAATTTGCCAAACAAAAGACATTCACGTTGAACAGATGTACCCTTATGTTTTTGGAGGAATGGGCAAAGTGAACGATGCATATAACATCTAAATAACATAGCCAAAAAGACAAGTGACACATGTTCCTTGCAAATTCCTTTGGACCTCACAAGGATGGAAGTACTCAAATGTATGGAATCTGTATGAATAAATGAAAAGAACTTCATGTTCTGTAGACATGGTATGCTAACATAGTCTAAAGATTTGAACACAATATTCTGATTATGAATTGCCCATAGTTGCCTCCAGAGAAGGCATAGGAACTGCTTTAGTGAAGGGATATTTTAAAAAAAATTGTTAAATGGTTAATTTATTTATTAGATTATCAGTCACTATATTTTGCCCTAAGCAGCAGAAGTCTACATTCTTGTTGTTGTTTAGTCGTTTAGTCGTGTCCGACTCTTCGTGACCCCATGGACCAGAGAACGCCAGGCATTTCTGTCTTCCACTGCCTCCCGCAGTTTGGTCAAACTCATGCTGGTAGCTTCGAGAACACTATCCAACCATCTCGTCCTCTGTCGTCCCCTTCTCCTTGTGCCCTCCATCTTTCCCAAAATCAGGGTCTTTTCCAGGGAGTCTTCTCTTCTCATGAGGTGGCCAAAGTATTGGAGCCTCAGCTTCACGATCTGTCCTTCCAGTGAGCACTCAGGGCTGATTTCCTTAAGAATGGATAGGTTTGATCTTCTTGCAGTCCATGGGATCCCCTTCATGGATCACTGCCTTGCC